CGTAAAGGCACCAGCTGCCTTGTAGTGTTTTGAGTAATGTTTTGACTGTGCCATATAGTATAGAAGGTAGTTTGTGGTATTTCTGTGTTGCTTTCAGAAACTTTCACTCTAAGGTTTCATTTGTAAATAAGGAAGCTTGGTGGCCATTTCAGCCCCTGTGAGACCCGAAGCTTGGAAATTCAAAGACGGTGCTTGGACTCCAAGTTAACTACCAGTTTGCACTAAAAGACAGCCTCTGGGGATGTAAATCTGTTGTCTCATTCAAAAGAGCATGTGACTGAGCTCAGGTCAATGGGAAAGTCTGGTAGTTTCTTTTCTTTATTTCTGTATCAAAAGCATGCATCAAATGAAACTATTGCAGTCAGCTTGAGGAATCTTCCATCTAATCTGCCCAAGAATTGTCAAGCCTACTGCATGCAGGGTGGTGTCATAACATGGAACAATGACTAACCGTCACCTGCCAGAAAGGAAAGGCAGCAGGGGAACCCTTTGTCACTGGTAATAGCTCTGTATTCACTGCTGAAGGCAGAGCTGTCTCAGAGGAGTGCAGGAGTGTGTCTTTCCAGCTGGCTAAGGGCTGCTGCAGTAACAAGCAGTAATAGCTCCTGAAGGCAGATGATCTGGAACAGAAATAACCTCCCTACACATCCTCAGAGGTGCTCTCACCTTCTTAAAGTGTGAAGGGCTGCTCCCCACTGTACCTTCCTGCTGGGCATCTGGCTGCCTTGCGCTGGCTGTATCACTGTCAGTAGCATTTCTGGGGTGGACCAGAGTAGACAAGTGCTTTAGATCTGGCGGGCACACACAACCGAGTGATGTAGAGCTGTCTGCTTGTGGGAGTTAAGTGCTGCGTCTTGGATAACACCAAATGTGATGCGCAAGGAAAGAAATTTTAACTCTTGAGTTGTTCACATTGCTGAAATACATTTCAAATCGGTTTGATTTTTTTGGGCTAGAATTAGAGTTGTTGCTGCTTCTGTGGTGACAAGCACAATTGCTCTTGACACTTAGGAAGCAGGACATAGAGTCAGTGTTCAAGGTGATGGCAAGCACCTTTGTTCCTCAGACTAGCACTGTGATGCAGACATGACTAGATTACACTGTTGTTACTCCTCTGATGGACTCTCTAACAGAGCTCTGTCGAATGATTTATCTTGGAGACAAAAAAAAGGAGCCTGACTGTAGGAGATCCAACTTTGTCAGTGTTCTGGGAAGTGCTCTCAGTCTGTGCATTTGTTACTGGTCTTTGGAGAGCAAGTAGATGATATGCTGCTGGCACTTCTCACTTGATTAAGGATCTTCACTGTAGATGAACTTAAATGCTAGCAGAAACAGCTGGAAGAACTAGGAGCTAACGATAATCTGAGTGGAGATGTGTGCTGCTCTTAAGGACTGGGCCCAGTATTAAGACTGCTGTATCAGTGGAAGTCTAGTTGCAAGTCAAAACAAAAGAGGCCATAGCCACAAGAGAAGACAACAGCTGTTTGGAAGAACAGCAGAGTAGGCTGGACAGTACTGCAAGACAGCACAGATGGGAAGCATAAGATAGATATGATAAAGAAATGGTTCATGTTACACAGGACTTTGGAGTCAGCTGGATAGTTGCTCATGGTCTCGGTGGGTGCAGGCCCAGGCATCAGTTAGTGAATGAAAGGAGCCAGTGCACGATTCATCCTGTCTTTGCCCATCTGTGCAGTGCACTGACTCAGACCATACCCATGGGTAAAAATGCTGAAATACTTCCTAATAATCATTCACACTCAAGAACTTCTAGCATTACTCCAAAGAGGCTAATAGAGGAACTGGTACATCCAGGATGATTATCTCTCTTTGCTCAGTAACATTCAGAAAGCCTTTGGTGGTACTTAGTTCAAAACAGAATGTAATTTTTTTTAAGTTTTTATGAAGATGGTGTTAAGTGAGAGAGAACAAGGAAGCTTGCAAACACAGCCTTTAGATTCAAAGCTGCAAAGAATGTCATTACCAAGAATGATGTAGTCCAACAATGAGAGGTTCATAAATAGTTTCCCTAAACCTTTTGCAGGGTAAGAATTACAGATCTTCCGTACCTGTGGCAGCCTGAGGAGAGACCCTCTGCTTTGGAGTGGAGTTGTGTGCCACATCTCTTTAAGAACTTTCTCACAAACTTCCTCTTGAGAGCTGCTAATTTAGTTAGATCTTTCTTTGCAGCATGATTAGGTAATACGAGGAGATACACTGAATAATCCAGTGGACAGGAAGCTGCTAACCCAGGCAATGCAAAGGCAGGTGTTTCAGTACTTTCAGTACCATTGAGGAGGCAGTAGTATTACCATGATAAATTTAATGAGTCCTTGGTTTTTGGGTTTGATTTCTGCCTCTAGCTGTATTTTTATTCCACGTTGCGTAAGCGTATCTTGTTAATCTGTAAATAAAATGAGTAATAGAAGTGAAAAATGAGTTTACAGAAAACACATTTTAATTCAGACCTAAACAATTTCCCTTAATGTCTATTTTTAGCTGGGTGGGTGTACTTCTTTACTTTTGTAACCCAAAGGCACCTCTCTCATTCTTTTTTAATGCAAATTAGGCCTCCCACACCATTAAATCATTTTTTATTGACTATTGAGCCTGAAAAAAAATGGACTGAACTTTAATATGCTACATTACCATACCATAAAATACAATTTGTAGATCTTATTTAGATTCTGTGTTGCTGCACTTCCTCTAAATAATTGTTATTACTGAAGAAGATTTACAGGCATTGTTGAAAGAAAGAATAAGTACTTTCCATTTTGTATGCATTGAAACACCGGCCGTGCGTGATTTCACATCTAAACCCCCTTGTTCCCGATTCTTTTCTGAAATGAAACAAGTCACATTATGCTGTTAGTTGCTAACAGACCTTTAAATATGGCAGTATCCACAACTTCTGCTTACTTCAGTGCCAGGATTTCACCCTTTCTTTTGTGCCGCTAAGTTTGTGTTAACTTTTCAAATGAAGTGTTTATCTTCAAGCTGTGAATCGTCACTTTGTGCATCCCCCTCCTCATTATTGCCACATGCATGGCATCAGCTGCTATGCAACACTTGGCAGGAAAATGCTCTGTTCCTTGGGAAGTGCAAGTAAAATACTGTCCTCCCACAAACTTTTCAATAAGGCTGCACACATACTCAGCTTGACAAGGTACATGGCCTTGCTTTCTGTTATTATAGATAGTAGCAGCCAAGGGAAGGGATGCATGCTGAGATTTTATGATTAACCAGAGAGAAATGTATATGACTCACGCTTTAGGAGTATAGCTCTTACCGAGGAACTAACGTTTTGCTCATGTTGACAGCCTTGGAGAATGACATTTATCTGTAGCACAACCTAGGGATGGCTAAGAAATATTCGAGCATTTTCTCGACAGTGTCTTACCCTTCTTCTAGAAGGACCACTTCAGAAGTGAAAGGGTGTTCAGCAGTGCTGTCTTTCAGTACGTGATCATTTTCAGTGTGCCAATAGAGGTGCTATTTGTGGTCCCAGGCTCATGTCAGGTAGGTCAAGGTCTTTCCATGGTCAGGCAGGACTGTCTTTGAGATGCTTTCCTGCTCACCTCTACCCAGCAAGCTCCATGTTGGCATGCCAAGTCCCCACAGTCATCTGGGTCTCCCAACATTTTGAAACTGGCAGAGTTTCAAAGCTATTTAAAAGGAATTTTCAGGCTAATTTCCCCCCTCACGGAGACTTCCTGAGAATATTCACTACCTTTAAAAGTCAGGGCATTTACAGTTATATCTAATTTCAGAATTATTTATCTAAATCTGGAACCTGAATTAGTAACTTCGAATTGAACTCTCGAACTGTCAGTACTTACTGCATTACCGCATTAGGTTTTAAAAAAGTAAAAAAAAAGCAACACAAACAGGTTATGGACCAAAGAGCAATGGCTGCTGTATAAATAGAGTTGTGTTATTTACATATGTGCATGATACATACGTATATATATATATGTGTCTAAAACCACAATTTCCCATTTCAGTTATGTGTGGCAGTGAAAACTGAGTCTCACTTTTGAAGCCTTTTGCAAGGGTTAAATGCATAATAAATCTAGAATTAGAATAGACAGTTTAAGTTGGAAGGGACCCCACAATGATCATTTAGTCTAACCATCTAGTCCAAATCCTGAGAAACATTAAAGTTTAACCATGTGATATGTTATGAAACTTATGTTAAACATAGGAAATTATTTGATTAACAAATTGACAACCAAGCACATTAGTATGCCTGTTACATTTTTTTTTTCCTAAGTAAACCACTAAGATAGTTGCTGATAGTTGAAGAAAGTAAATGACTAAGCAGTCCCTTCCAAGAGCTCTCTTGTTTTTCTGTAGAGTATGTATGAGGAAGTACATGTCTGAATACACAACATAAATAAGTCTCTATGATAAAAGCCTTTCGATTTTAATAGTCTCTGAAAAGTTAAGAGACAGATATCTCATAACTAGACAAATAAGCAGAGAGAAACACTTTTAATCATCTTTTAAGATGTGGAAATACTCTTTTAAATAACTTACTAAATGTCCAGCTCAGTCAGATGTATCCTATTACTCTGACATGTTTAAAGTTCTCAGTAGACAGTGATGGCTTATTTTGTTCTTTTTTTCCCCAGATTATTTGGAAATACATATGATGGCTCCAAGTGGCTACCAGCCCTGCTTCCTTAGGGCTCAGTTCAGCACTGTTTACATTCCTGATTGTGGAATCCTTCAGGCCGTCCTCTGTCAGGACGACACCTAAAGATGTCCATGAACATCTGTATTAGATCCCTTAGCATTAAAAAAATATTCATTCAGTGAATCCACTTGTGATAGTAAGCACTAACCATAGAAGTAAGCACTGTGCAGGATCATGGCCTCATGTTTTAATATGCTTAAGAAAGATGATATGTAATTAATGTGAAAAAAGGTCTCTCACTTATTTCAACTAATCATAGGGTGGTTTTGGTTTTTGTTTTGTTTTGCTTTGTTTTTTTTAGCTGAACTCTTCATGGAACAACAGCATCTCAAAGAAGCAGGTTTTTGTATCCAGGAGGCAGCTAGTCTTTTCCCCACATCTCATGCTGTACTGTACATGCGTGGGAGGCTTGCAGAGATGAAAGGCAATTTGGAGGAGGCTAGGCAATTGTATGATGAAGCGCTCACAGTGAATCCAGCTGGAGTGGAAATTATGCACAGCCTGGTGAGTTTGCAGGGGCTCAGCTCCATTATAGTATTTATGTTTCTGATTAACTGTAATAAGAGGGGAGAGGGCTCATGCTTGCTCTGGATGCCATTGTCTTCCTAATCCTGAGAGCAAGTGAGTGTTCCAAGAATAAATTGGGTAGCTTGAACCTCTATTTTAAGACTGGATTGAATGTTTTTAACTAATTAGGACTTGTGTCAAAAGTAAATATTTTAATTGACAAAGGCTGATAGTTTTGGAAGTCAATTCACTGCTTTGTCTTTGCTGCTTTTTCTGCTAACTGTTACACATTTTAAATAAGCAGTACACTGATGTTTGAAAGATCTGAACTCAATAACTATAGAATATAGATACATACGGGGTTTGTAAATCTTGGTCTGGGGTCTTGTGTTTACTCAAATCAAGATAAACTATGAGTTTACAATAAAATGAATCTCTTATTGTCTTAAGCAGTGGCTGAGCTCCAACCTTGCGTAGGGGCAGTGACTCGTTTCTGGGTTTTTTTGGTAACACTCCTACCCAACAAGTATTTTTTTTCTGTTGCACCATCACCAAAACAAACTTATGTACAGACACAGGGCCTAGAGCTTAATAATAATAACAATAATTATAATACAGGGCATTTGTGGAAGACCAAAACCCACTTCTCTTATGAAATCAGAACAGTTAATATTTCTTTAATGATGTGTCTTGTTAACTGTAGCCCTTACTAGGTCTCTCTGGGATTTTAGAAGTCTTTCTTGACTAATTTAATTTTTACGGGAATTCTATATCCATGTGACTGCTTTGTGTCTTTGCCAGGAAATACAAATCTGCTAGTATAAATTTGGTTCTGATGAGGTTTGCAGGCAACTCCAAAACTGAAGGGGTATCAGTGCACAAGAGGACAAGTGTAAAGTGAAGTTATAATTGAGAGAAAATAGTAGAACAGGCAAGGGATGAGATATTTGGTAATAATGAATGTCCAGTGCAAAGCCAGCAAATGAATGGCTGGTGCCTATGTCAGGAGAAGGTTACAGAACAGCTATGCATATATCAGGCTTATATGGGGCAATAATACTCTCTTGCTGTGATCCAACCTTTAGAAAATCAGTCGGTAAAAACCTGTCAAGGTAGAATGACGTACTTTGCTCAGTGTCAAGATATCAGACAAATCACTGATACCAGAGCAGCCAGCAGGTTAGATGCCAACATGATACTAAAAGCTTTCATTTTTGTCTTATTTTATGAGCAGAACCACATACTGTGTCTTCCCATTTCAGTTGCTTGCAATTTTCTGAAACTACAGTGATTTGGAATAAAAATTTCTGGGATGCACATCTGCTCTGGCCCAGTTTACTTTGGAAAATGTCACGCAACATGGCTTAACTGTTTCTGAAAATGAGGCTAAAGAAGATACCTTAAAGACTTCTGTGACATCTTCTTTACTGTGCTTTAGTGTTTCCAGGTTTTGTTAGGAATGCATAGTCTTTCTAACATACTAACGTGCTTTTTACCATCCCTAAGAAAATCCTTCCTAGGTTATCCAAATTATAACCTTTAAAAAACACATTTTACACATGCTTAGTAGATATGTGTTTCTGAAACCTCTAAGGAGTCTGTGAATGCTCATTCACCTCAAACCCCAGTAACATCCATCCTCTCTTAGTCAAGGGATGGAAGTAAAATTTAGGAGCGGTAAAAAAGACAGTGAGATGGGAAATTTGGGAGCAAAGGCTCAGTCCAAAAGCAAGTAGGGAAGAGGAACGATAAACTCAGTAACAAAATGAGAGAAATAGGGATAGATAGAAAATAAGAGAAGATAGATAACTCTGGATAAGAAGAATGAGACTGAGTTAAGCAGGTTGAGACACATGGGTTGAGGGGTGGGCATGTTGGAAAGAATGAACTAAAGGGTTTGATCTTATGAGAGAGACAAGAGTGTGAACCTGTAAGAGTACTTACACTCCATAGCCTTAAATCTCCTTAAAATTCTGAATCTTCTCATCTTGGTGCCAGCACGTATCAGTGAAAATCACTTGCTTCAGCATGTGCCTCATCTCCTTTAGCTTGGCCATGCTGGCAGCCTGTGGTTTACACCTGTTAGCTAAGACAGCAAAGGTCTGGTCTATCCCTGCTGATATGAATCATGGTAGTAGTTATAGAATGCCACATAATGGCATTCCTTTGTATGCTTTTCCAAAAGCTAGGAAATTGCACATAACAAGTTAGAAGCATCTGATGAGCACTATAGAAAAGCCTGTAAAGAAATTAATCATTCTGCCTTCAGAACAGAGCTGGAATAATGTGCAGTAAACAGGGCTTTTAGGGCTATGCATCAAATAAAAAGGGCGAAAATAAAATATTGAATGGCTGCTAGCTCAGTGATTTTGTCCTGTGTACTGAATGAGACAGTGTCCCCAGGGAGAACTTAAGACTGGGTTTATGCAATTGAGGATATAATATAACAAATGGTAAATTCTGCATCTCCTAGAGGCCATCAGAAGAAGACTGCATGTCTTTCTGAAATATATGTATTAGCCAAGTACTAGCTGTACTGTTATTAAAAATACAGGTTCTTGAGCACAATATGTTCAGTCCCCTACCAGAGAGAAATCTATGTCTTGGATTATGCAAAAGGCCAAACTAAATTATCAGCTAGTTCCAAGTGGCTTGAAACTATGCAAGACACATACACAGGCAGCTGAAATTAAATTCACACATGCTGTTTCAGTGCTGGGCTCCCCCAAACACTGGAGTACATAGTTTTCCCACTGTAGTAATACAGTTGTGGATGTGTAGGAATTTAGGGAAAGAGGGTCTGATTATGAGAATTACTGTTGGACTTAGTACAACTGCCATCCAACTGACCTAGTCCACTTTAAGGGAAAACTGCTGTAGACAGTGCTGATTCTCCCTCGTGTATCAGCATCAATTAGCAAAGTAGTCATGTCTCTTCCCCTGGGCTCTCAGAACTGGGTTGTCAAAGCTATATTTGGAAAATTCCAACCTGAAGAGCGTTGCTGGCTTTAAATGAAGGGCACAGATCTAGCAATGAATGAGTCCACTGGATGTCAATAACTTCACTTTTACACAGGGTAGAATCACCACCATAAGAAACAGAAGTTCTTTCTCTGTGTAGCTGAAAATGGCCGTGTTTTACTGTGATTGTAGGGTGTTCACAATAGCTGTCAAATTAGTGTGCTTTCCATATAAAGTACAGTGCTGCATGGAAGAGCAGCACCGTAGAGCAGGACCGCAGTGCTGAGTGCATCTGATGAGAGATGGGTAGCACAGTGTACTTCGTCATGGGGGCTGTTGGCACTTAGTGTCCAATAATGTGGTTAGGAAACTACAGGCACATTGAAAATAACATATAGTTGTGCTGCTTCTTACTAGCACTTGCAGTTTGTAAGTGATGCCACAGGATCCTAAAGCCTGTATTAAGAATCCACCAATGGCCTTTCCAAAGTAAGTATTGCTGGCTAATACCTAATCTAAGGAAACACGTTTGTGGAGTTCTGTTTTCATTTGGAAAAAAAAACATGTAAAATCATGTTTTGGGGCTATTGGGAGCATCCTTAAGTACAAAAGTACCCCTGGTGAGGTTTGGAGCTACTCCTCTGGTTGAACAACTGTTTGCTGTCAGAAACAATTAGCTTGGCTTGGCCCTTAGAAACTGCACATACTGTAAGACCACAGCTCTCTTTAGGAAATAAAAGTTGCTAGGGATTTTTTTCCGCATTTCTCCTTGTTCTGTCTCGCACATTTCTGTCTGCCCTCCCTTTACTACAACAGCCCTGTTCTTTTTGTCTTCCCTTTCACAGGCTCCTTCTGGGGCCTGCTTGCAAAGATCGTCGAGAACAGCCCTGTTCTTTTCTTCTCCTTCCCTTTCACAGGCTCCTTCTGGGGCCTGCTTGCAAAGATCATAGAGCACTTCTCCCTCCCAGGGGGGTGGATGGAGTTTCTACTGAGTAGGTATCTTCGCTGGTCCAAAAATGAGAGCTTTAGCCCATATCCCCTTGTCTTACACTGTAACTAGGCAGCCATGCCAGATGCTAATCTCTGACTGCACATTTTTAAACCAAATAACTACAGCTTATTTCTTTCAGTATGTACTAAATTTGGCTATATAACATCATGATATACACAGCTTTGGGATGGTGATAACAAAACCGACATGTGCCCAATCAAGTCAGAAAATATAAGCTGGGGCAGATGACACTTCCTTGTAAAGTGATACACAAACCCACCTACCTGTATGTCACTAGAGAAAGACATTGAAATTTGCTAGTTCCCAGCCACAGTGAATTCAGTACCGTTCTCCCTTTTGATTCAGAGGAGGAGAAAATCAATGCCAGCATGTTGGATTTGAGTCCTAAAGCTTCATATGTACTATTGCAAGATAAACTAAAAACATACTGAGATATTCAGAAGACTCTTGTCCCGCATGCATCTCACATAGCACTTTGTCAAGTTAGAGCAATTCTCAACACGTTTTAGTTCAGGGAAGAAGAAAGAGAATCACGCATCTAAAAGGGAGGGAAATGGGCACCCTCATTTCCGTCACTGTGCCAGATTTAATGAAAGCAACAAAAACGTACCATCAAAACAAAGGAAGAAAAATTCACTTGACTCATACTTGAGTGTTATTGATCGCAGTGGAAGATTGTAATGATTCCTCACTTCTCTTGAAGGCTGGGGCAAGGATGATAAGGTTGTTATCAGGATGCCACATAGCTGTCTGCACTACCTCATCCCTATGCTTGATAGCAAAACAAAGTGAAATATATATTGGGTTTTGTTTAGTGAGTTTTTGTGAAGGTTAAAATGGAAATCAGCCTTCGTAATGTATTTCTGTGTTCCATTGTGCCAACATAAATGGGTGGAAAACATAATCTAGTGAAAATGTATTTGTTCCATAATCAAGTCAAATAGAATATAAAGGTAACACCGGTTGTGTTAATCATGAGAGTTCTGCTTTTCCTTAGAGAGACTGTCATCTGCACCACAAAAAG